AAAAAAAAAAAAAAAAAAAAAAGAGTTACATACATGAGTTTGCCTCCAAGTTTAGGAGATACATGGACCCTCAAAGGGTAAAAAATAATCAGCATAATAATTTCTGCTTATTCAGCAGCTAAGATGTGCTAAGCACATTTATGGTCATATTTAACTTTCAGAGAAGTTAACAAGTAAGCAACTACAAAAGACATTAAGTGACTTGCCCAGGGATACTACACCCTGAGTTTTACACCCTGCACCATCACCTGGCTAGGTGCCCACGCACCAACACAGCCATGAAAGCTGGGCGTGCTGGCACACACCTGTGATCCCAGCACTCGGGAGGCTGAGGCAGGAGGATCACCATGAGTTTGAGGCCAGCCTGGCTCAGAGTGAATTCAAGGCCAGCCTGAACTACATAGTGAGAGCCTGTCTTAAAACAAAAACAAAACAAAATAAAAAACCCAAATAGGCATTTGCAGTGGGGGACTGGACTGACAGTGGAGGAGTTTTTCTGTTACATATTCCATCGTTTAAAACTGTGTCAATGACGGTGTAAGCTGGTCAAGTGAAATAAAATCATCAATGTTAAGAAAACATCAAACATGACAGCAAAAAGAATTTAAATCCTCTTCTATGGCGCTTTGGCTCCAGAGAGTAGAATCCAAGTATAGGGATAGCCGGACAGGGGCTTGGGTGAGCAGGAGGAAAACATTTTGTCTGGATTTATAATAATGTTAAGGAACATGGCAGCAACCTGTTCTTTAGCGCTTACTACGTAGGAAACACCATGTTTTATCTTGTTTAATCGTCGAAACAACGGAATTATCAGTTTCCCACCCCGGCTTAAAGATGTGAAGCTCAGAGAGGTTAGGAAATTTGCCCCGGCGTCACACAGTGACCAGGACAGTGCCAGGGCTCAGGCGGGCCTCACCTCCACGTCCTCGTCCGCCCTCTGCCGGTTCTGCCGCACCTCCTCCAGCTGCAGCTGGGCGCGCTGCAGGGAGCGGCTCTGCAGCGCCATCTCCTGCTGCAGCTCCTGCTTCTCCTGCTGCGCGCGCTCGATGTAGCGCTCCTGCTCCTCCTTCAGCTGCATCAGCTGCTTCAGCTTCTCCTCCTCCTCCTCCAGCAGCCTGGCGGGGAGGCACTGTGTCGTCCTGCACCTGCACCTCGCGGGTGCGCGGCCAGCTGGAAGATCCGGAAGGAGCCCTACCTGGCCTGTGCGAGGCGCACGGCCTCCTCGTCCCGCCGAGCCTTGACCTCCAGCTGCAGGGCCTCCTGCAGCCGTCCCTGCATCTCCTCCAGCTCCTGGATGCGCTGCCGCTGCCGGGCCGCCTCCTCCTTCTTCAGCTCCATCTCAGCCTGCATGGTGGCCCGGGCCTGTGGGACGGTGGGGGACGCGGAGCCAGGTCCTTAGGGGCGCCCGGGGCAGGGGCAGACAGGCTACTGGGTGTGAGGTCTAGGAGTTCCTTTATGTTCCCGTTCCTGGGGCCCCGAATGGGTTGGATAACGGGACAGAGGCCTCAAACTGTCCGTCTCCAGCTTTAGTAATACTTGGTGGCATGGACGCCGCTCAGTGGGAGACACTGGCCTAGCATGTCCAGAGGCCCTGGGTTCAAGCCCCAGCACGGCAAATAGAAAAATACATGTGTATACAATTAAGTAGGCCATGTTGTGTTACGATTAAATAATATATGAAAATAAAGTACAATCACCTCCTTCCTAGCACCCGCCCTAATTAGTATTATATCATTATGGCAGGTGCTAGGAAGGAGGTGACTGTAGTTTTCACAGCTAGGACGAACACTTTACAAGTGCTTCCTCACCTAACCTTCCGCTTTCCTCTCAGAGCAAACTCAGCGCATCAGCATCTACTGCTAGGTGAAAGGCGCACCGACAGGCTACTTCCGGCTGCTCAGGGCCGGTTGGGGCTGCCCCCAGGTCTAGACCCGCTGAATCCTAGATCTAATGGCCTCTGTCCCCTGGAGTCTTCACTTGCACCTGCCTATCTCCCATCCCGCCCCCCAAGCTGGTTTCACTGAAATCTCAGGTAGGAGATTCCAACCTCGGTCCAAACCCTTCCCAAACACAGGGTCAGTGGTGGCTCCGAGGGTCCAAACCCATCCCCTTTCCCCAAACGGTCCCCGAACCAGGCTCCTACACCTGCCATTTGGCTCCAGTCCACCACCCCTCACCTCAAGCCATCATCCCTCGGCTGGATCCCCGCACTCCCCTTCCTTAGGCACTCCCGCCCTGAGCACAGCCCAGCCCCCCAAAGCCTGCTCCAGTCCCTCATTCCACTTTAGGGCGCACCGCTCAGCCCCCGGGACTCCACCCCCGGGACTCCACCCCCGGGACTCCACCCACGGGACTCCACCCACGGGACTCCACCCCCGGTTATCCCCACC